GTAACCATAAGGAAAAGAAGATGGTTGTTGGCTTATCTGCATATGAGCGAAGATGGTTGTTGGCTTATCTGCATATGAGATGGTCTTAACATCTTTCCCCTTTAATGTAATGATTTGGTTCTTCTGTTTTCTCGAGCTTGAGCTTGGAGAACAGAAATATTTTCCTTTGCTCACAAAGTTGTCCAACTTCACTGCTTTTCCATTCTTACATACCACTGCCCCACTTGTTCATATGCTATTCAAATTCCTTGCTACAACACATCTGTACTGCAGAAGGTTGTACATTCAGAATGAGCAATGGAAACTATAGCGTTGTAGCTCATGACAGGTGTCATGGTGATAAACATCACACAAGAGTTGACACATGCATTCAATATGTCATTTCAAAGTATTTTTACCCGTGGGCTCTGTCGACATTCCAAGGCATACTTAACCATGCTGAATGAGTGATGACTTTTCATGTTAATAGCAGGAGGGTACATGATCAAATTTTATTATATATGTTTTAAGAGGTTTTTCAAATTAAAATTCCCAATTTTTCAATTAATCACTGGAGCTATACCTTTAACAGCAACTGATTTATTACATGTTTTGTGTAATGCACTTTCACGTTGTCTGCCAGTTTGTGATGGTTCCATGGATTTTATTTTTTTTAATGCAAGGTATACTTGGAGGTGACTTACTATTGCCCAGTCACAGAGAAAACCATAAGTTTACATCTATTGGGGTGTCAAATCAATCTGGAGAAAACTGGGATATCTGGGTGTACCTGAGGCAATGTTTGGATGCCTCACATAACCCATCACGAGTTAGTGGATAGTGTAGAAAGACACCAAAATATAGTCTACAGACCATTGTATTGGTTAGCAGTTTTCTATCCTGTGTTAATCAGGGCTGATTTTGCATAGTTTCCAAGATCTGACAGAATCTGGTGCATCTAAAGTACTGGTATATACTACCATTCTTCAATTGTTGTATTACTTCCCAACTGATCTTGAAAGTGGGCTACTTTCAGAAATGATTCTTGTTGTGTGTTTGCCTCCAGGTGTTAATGGTCTAATTCTCATTGTAACAATTAACTTGCATTCATGTAGAATATTTGCACCTTGCTCTGCTCCTGAAAAGTTTCACAGAGTAACTTATAAATAAGTGAAATTGGGACAAGCATTGCCCTCAGGCTGACAATGCAAACGCTGGAAAGCAATGGAATAATTTATGGGAATCATAAATGAGAAAGGAAAATAATAATTTTCAACACTAAATTACTTTGAAATAAAAATAAAACCTTTGTACTGTTGCATTGTAAAGGTTTTGGTGTTGTATTGGTAAAACCCATTGACACTAGATCATACTAAATATTTACCTAGTCCAGCATTCTGTTCACAGATGGTCAGCCACTTGCTTTATGTAGACAACATGCAGAGCATTTGCTGTTTGATTGCAAGCATTAAATGTCTTGATCTAGGCCCTAGAAGACTCAGAATATAATTCTGTAGATATTTATCTGGGAATAAGTTTAATTGAAAATAATTTTGCTGAGCTGTAAATAAGGATACATTCATATAAGCATATAAGCAGTCTGTTGTTATGGTTTGAATGTTGCACCAGGACTATGAGAAACCGAGATTTGAAATCCTGTTGACACATGAAAACTATTTCGGGTGACTGGAGTAAGTTACACTCTCACAAACTCAAAGGAGAACAATGACAAACCACAACTGAATAAATCTTGCCAAGAAAGCCCTAGGATACAGTTGCCAAAAATCAGAGTTGACTTGTAGGCAAGTAACAACAACAAAGGCATACACAGGGTGAACGCAATGTGTTTCAAATAATATGCCAGCCTTCCCATATCTGGATAGGTTTTTTTTTTCCTGCTCAACCAAGTCTGGCCAGACAATAAAAGAACAGGATTATGGGACATTTTCCCTCTCTACAAAGCACCTATACATGGAACATTAGAATTCCATCCAAGTGTAATTCCAAAGGATCCAAATACCATTTTGAGAAGAGAAAAAAATAATGATTTTTTTAATACTCAGTCCAAAATATAACCATGTTTGAGTCATCTCCCTTTTGCCCATAAATGGACATATAGTGTTGGTTGCCACAATCATAACTCCATTTTTTTTCTGGAGTAACTGGGAAGCTAATTTTAAGATCATGGAATATGATCTTAAAATTAGAGACTCCTATGGTCACCTTACTGAATTATCTCCATCTCAACACTTACAGGGGGACTGTGTCCCTGTTGGTGCTTCTAGACCTCTCAGTGGCTTTTGATACCATCAATCACGGCATCCTTCTGGAACATT